CAAAGGCAGCACAGAGGAGGCAGCTGAGGCAGAGGCAGGCTGGCGYTGCTCCGGCACAGGCATTCATCTCTCCCCAGCTGGCCTCCGCGCGTTCCCTGGAGCCGGGAGCTCGGCAGCCGCCCACGCTGCGCTCRCGCTGCCTGATCCTGCCTGAGTCATCCCGGCACTGCTGGTTCTCACTGCTGCCTGGGAGCAGAGGAGAACCTCCCCGAGTTCCCAAATGGCTGTTCCTACAGACCCTCCTGGAATTTGGGAGCTGGGAGAGCTCCATAGGACAGGGGCTGGTCTTCACCTGCAGTCACTCCTCTGTTGCAAAGTGAGCCTTTTCCACCCTGCTCCATCTTGCGTTTGCTCCCAGATCCAACCTGATCTCGTGTCATGGCCAGGCAGGGAGATGTTTCTCCTTTCTGTGTGCCTTCCATCCTCTTCCCAATCCTGGGAGCTCACTGTGGAACACAGGTGGGAAGAGGAGCAGGTGTGAGCAGGGAGCCGAGCCCCATAAACACCARCTCCCACCCTCCAGCCTAAAAATCTTTGGATCACTAGGACCAAACCCCACCSTGGAGGCAGCCCTGCCCGCTCTGGCATCCCTTCCCTCCTGTCTCCAGGTGAGGTGGGCTTCCTGGCCGAGGAGCGGCGGATCAACGTGGCGGTGACGCGGGCGCGGCGCCAYGTGGCCGTGGTGTGTGACAGCCACACTGTGGGCAGCCAGCCCTTCCTGCGGCGCCTCCTGGACCACCTGTCCCAGCGCGGCCTCGTGCGCTCCGCCTTCGAGTACCTGGATGACCTCGTGCCCCAAAACTACCCCGGGGAGGGCCAGGCCCAGCGCCAGAAGGGCCCCAAAGCGCCTGTGGTGTCCGGCCCCAAAACACCCGCAGCGTCCGGCCCCAAAGCGCCCACGGCGTCTGGCCCCAAAGCACGTCCAGCTCCGGGTGGGAAGCTCAAGGCAGCTGCAGCCRGAGCAGGGAGCCAGAAACCGGGAGCACGGAGCTCCCCGAGCGCCGCCGGCGCTAGGAGAGAGAGCTCGGGGACAAAGGATGGTGGGGACAGGTTCAGGGCCATGCTGGTGGCCTTCCTGGCGAGCGGCGAGGCGCAGCTGGATTTCCCCGCATCCCTGAATTCCCACGAGCGGATGCTGGTGCATGTGCTGGCTGAGGAGTACGGGCTGCAGCACCTGAGCTCTGGGGAGGGCCGGGAYAGGTTCATCAGTGTCCGCAAGAAACCCCCTGAGCAGCCCCCGCTACCCTCCGAGCCCCCGCTGTCCCCCAAGCCCCCTCCTCAGCCTCAGCATCCCAGCGGGAACACCCCCGACCCTGCGGAGCCGGGTGAAAGCAGCGAAAGCTGGGGGAGAGTGGATCTGAAATCCCTGCACCTGGAGAGAGTCCAGAGGGAGAAAGCCAGGCGGGAGGAAGCGGCCAGGAAGGTGCAGGAGCCCGGCCATGGCAGCGGGAAAAAGGAYAAGAGCAAAGCCAAAGGTAGGTCAAGCTTTTCCTGACCAGGACAACGGACATTAATCGTGGTGGGTTTGCTCTGCGTGCATGGAGCGTGTGGCACTTGGAAGGCTGCAGGGAGGTGGGAACTGGCTGCAGCATCCAGGGAGAGGGGTTTGGATCCCTGGGGGCACATTCCTTACGTGAAGGGAAAAACATCGGGGACCCTTTGCCAGGACAGAGGGTTACATGGGAGGCTCCCGGGTGCAGGGAGAGGAGCTGAGGGGAGTGCCYGGCCCACACTGAAGGGTGCCAAGGCAGAGGCTGCCCCACGGCTGCAGGAGGGTGGCTGTGTTCSCAGCCCCCAATCCGGGTGTGCTCCCCTTTCCCAGGAAAGCCGGCAGGCGGGAGTGCGGAGGGAGAGGATTTTGACACTCTGATCTCCGCTGCCATCGAAGCCAACAGGACCTGCGGCTTCCCCCACTGCAAGGCCTCTGTCACCACCCTGGGCCAGCTCTGCCACCACTGCCAGCGGCTCTTCTGCCTCAGCCACCACATCCCCGAGGTATGAGGGGGAGGACGGGCTTTACCTGGGAATTTTTTTCCCTGTGGAGCTCCCTGGGCAGGGTTTCTTCGCAGGAAGCTTCCTCCCTTCAGAGCCTGTGCAGAGCTCCAGGTACACAGARCTGGCAAATGCTGACACCTGGGCTCTGCTCACCTCTTCCTGGCAGCTTTTCCATGTTTTCCTCTCACTTTGTGCCCTTCTTTACCATTTTCTGGCATTTACATTCTGAGGCTGTGGGGGTAGAGCGAGGCAGGGAGGAGAAATGGGGAAGCCCAAATTTCAGGCTCGAGGGAGCCAAATTCCCAGCTCTTTGCACATTGTGCATTGTGAGGATGATTCCCAGCCCTTTGCACATTCCTTGTGCATTGTGAGGATGATTCCCAGCCCTTTGCAGGGTCTCTCTGCATCCTGGGGACAGGCCAGGCACAGAGCTGCACTGCCTGGCCAGCAGTTCAGAATTCCCTGTGTCCCTGTCGCTCATCCCACAGCTTCCGTGCCCTGCAGAGCCTCCCAGAGCTCAGCAGCCCTATAAATCCTCGGCAGAGCTTTTCCCCCTGTCAGGAGCTGTCTGTTTCCATGGCAAGGAATAGTGGTGTTTATGGTCACTCAGCATCCAGGGGGATGCAGATTTATTTCCTGCAGAATCGCCTCTCCCTGCTGAATTGTAACGAGGCTCCAGCCGTTGTAGGGATTCAAATCTGTCACGGCTCTGAGGGAACAGGCTGGGAGCCCACTCCATGGAAACRTAAATGACTTTGGGATGGCCCAAAAGAAGGGATCAGATTTTAAGAATCTCGGATTTTAGGATAATTCCAGTGGCTCATTAAAGCAGCAGCTCTGTGGCTCCAAAAGGTCTCCCATTCCCCAAAACACTGAATTTCACAATTGAGTGGAAAGGAAGTCGAAGGAGCCACTTGAACCATCCCAAAGGGTGATTTACCTGTGGTGCAGAACCCAGGATCTTTAACTTTTGTTCTCTGTGRGAGGAGCTATAAATGTTGTTTTAATAAAATACATCATAATAAATATTAATTACTGATTTTAATCAAGAAATAGATTGATAAATATATTAAAATAYAAAACCTAAATATAAAATGAAATGAAAGAACAAACAGAATAAATAGTAAAGTATTATAGATAATAAAATAAATAATAAATAGATTTAATTATAGAAATACATTAAGTATGTAAAGCATAGCAACATAATAATATATAACAATATAATGATATATAAAATAATAATAATAGTAATAATAATAATGGTAATAATAATAGTAATAATAGTGGCTGCAAATTATGGGAGATGATTTTAGGGGGTGCAAAGAGGTAAAAGAGGAATTCCAGGCTGAAGGAGTGCCAGCCCCTGGTTGCCATTGGGTGATCCCTGCCCCAYTTCCCCATGTCCATTCTCTCCCTCCAGGTCCATGGCTGTGGGGACAGGGCCAAGGCCCAGGCACGGCAGAGGATCAGCCGGGAAGGGGTCCTGTATCCTGGGAGTGGCTCCAAGGACAAATCCCTGGATCCCRCCAAGAGAGCCCACCTCCAGCGGCGCCTGGACAAGAAACTCAGCGAGCTGACGAGCCAGAGGAAGGGCAAGAAGAAAGACAGGGAGAAATGAGGGACCTGAATCCTGCTTTTTTAACCTCAAAGCCACAGCTCTGCTGTGCTGGGCCTGGTTGGAAGTGAGGGGGTGGTTCCAAACCAAGAGCTGGGAGCCTCTCTGAGCAGCAGGGCTGAGGCAGGGGAGGGAGAATGCTGCATTGTCCCGATTATCCATGTGGACACGGTGATGGATGTGCTCAAGGGATGGAGGATGCTGGTGAAACGGGCATTAAACATCCAAAGCTGTCACTGTCACACTGGTCCCTGTGACAGCTCAGGAGCGTGGCAGAGCCCCAAGTGTCCCCATGCTCCGGGGGGGATCCCTGAGGGAATGGATGTGTCCCAGCCTGGCAATCCTCCGGCACCGTGCAGAGCAGGAGGGGGCTCAGCCTTGTGTCCCTCCTGGACCTTTTCCCAAACCCTCACACAGGGTCCATCCAGTCCCCCAGAATTAGCTCCAGCAGCGCTTTTTGTCCCCAGGATGAAGGAGGAGGTGCAGAGGTGCCTCCAGACAGGAGTGGCTGGAGAGGAGCACAATAAAAACCCCTAACCCACACATTCCCCATCATTTTGGGGCAGAACACCACAGATTCCACCACCTCAAGGGAGTCACTTCATCCCAAGCAAAGCTCAGCAGGAGCTGCCACACAGCCGAGGATTTCTGTGTCATCCCTTCCCAAATACTTGGCTGGGATAGCCAATAAGCACATTTTCCCCCAAGCCTCAAGGCCTGTTGAGTACTGGCTGTGAGAAATTTCCCAGAAAAACTTTTTCATCCTTCAGAGAATCTCATCCCATGGAGGGATGGCACCGGCTCCCCTGGCAGCAGATGAGACAGGGGTACTCCTGGAGGGAGAAATGTGGGAAGAAGGAAATCTGATCATCAGTGAGTGGAGATGGGCAGGGGAAGGAACTGGAGCAGAGGGGGAGGATGGAGCAGGGACATCCCTAAGGGGAGGTCAGGCGGGACAGATGGGAAGGGAAAGTGCCACCAGCTCAGGGGATAACTCTCCTCGAGTTATTTTGAGTCAGGGGAAAACGGATAAATGGCTCATTTGCACCTTTCTGCCTGCTCAGATCATCCAAGCGGCCACATCCCAGCCCATGTTCATCCTGTGGTGCCAATTTCCTGGCACGCAGCCCCAGACACCCCCAGATTTCCCAGCTTGGCTTCCCACTGGCATCCTGCAGGCAGGGAAAAGCCAAGGCTCCAGGCAAGGAGGGATGTGGCCCTATGGCATCCTCTGCCCACCAGCCTGTGCCATGAGGGGCTYTGTCATCCTCCACAAACCAGAGTGGGAATTAGCTCCCCAAAAATCCCAAACCTGGCTTGGTCCAGAGTCTATCAGCAGACAGGATCCACACAGGCTTTTCCTCTCCCTTCCTCCTGAAATGGGAGTTGGCCTTAAAAATGACAAAAATGAGTGCTCACACCTTTGTTGCCTTTGGTCACAAGGCCAAAATGTTCCTCTCAATCTTGGGGAAAATGAGTTCTAGGGTAAGTCAAAGCCCAAGTTCAGGACTAGGGGCTGGAAAAACAATCCCAGTTGTGAGTTGTGTTAAAGAGCAGGAATTTGCCATGCTGTCCTGAGCACCCTGAGGATGAGTTTGGATTGGAAAGTGGCTGGGCTGGGAAAAGCTGCCCCTGATCCTACTGGGCCTTTAGGGGATGATTCCCAGCATGGATCTGACCTCAAACCCAAGAGGTTGGAAACCAAGCCCAGCCAGTGGAGCTGAGCAGGGATTGACTGTGGGGAAACCGAAGGAAGGAGAAGCTGTATGTAACAATAACCGATTTCCTGCTGTTATTGCTCCCTTGTTCCATCCTCAATGGAAACATCCCAGAGCTGGCACAGCGCACCAAAATCCCTACAAAAAAACCCCCCAGGATCACCTCCCACACCGTGCTGGCATTCATCACCCCCTCAGCATTCCTGCTCAAAAAACCACTTCCAAAGGAATCCCCCCCTCTCCCTTGCCCAGAGTCCACATCCGAGGATTTCGAGGCCGCTGGGAGCACACGGGACACTCGGGGCTTTGGGGAGGTTCCCATGGTTTCGGTCCATCTGGGCTCCTTCCCGGGTGTGGGGGTGACCCGGGGTGCGCCCCTGGAGCTGCTCCGTCCGTGCTCCGGGCGCCTCGGGCAGCTCAGCCTCGTGGGTGCCACCGAGTCCCTGCTCCAGTCCCGCTGTCCCCGGCGTGGGGATGGCAGCGCCCTAATTCCTGCGCAGCGGGTGCCACATGGAGACGGGCTTGCGSAGCGTGGCCAGCATCTGGTTCCAGTGCGTGGTGCCCATGCCGCTGGCYGCCGGCCCGATCAGCACATGGCCCGTGTTGTCCCCGCGCCCGTCCTCGCCGCTCTCGGCCACCGTCACACGCAGGGACAGCTCCTGGGGGACGCGGGGCCGTCACCACCATGCACAACCCCCCGGACACAGAGCCCAGCGGTTGTGTGTGTGCCCATGGTGCCCACACATCCATGCATCCCATAAATCCAGCACCAAACCCTCCGTACCCCACACACACGGCCCTCTGTGCCCCCACCCCGTTCAAACCCACCCCCTGTTCTTGAAACCCCCCCTTCAATA